TAGCATCCCCTTCCTCTCGTGTCACTGCTTGCTTGATTTATCCACTGCCCACTGTGTCTGTTGAACTGTCTCAGCCCCGGGGACTCCATCTGGTGCTTCTAAGTGTGCACAGACTCTATGGTTTGCTTTTGTTGTTTGAGTCTGGTAGATGCTTGGGGGATACTTAAGTTTGCCCCTCCGCTCCCCTCCTTTCCTTCGCACCCCTTTCTCTCAGGATCACCCCAACACCAACACTATCACCACCCCCACGCCCCCCACCTCCGTTCGTTCTCCTGGATTAAAACGACTCCAGTTTTCTTTGACATCTTTCTGGGCCGGTGATTGTTTTGCTTGGTGACAGTAGCGCTGGAAAATGAGCTAGATTCTTGATGGTTATTGCCCTCCATCATTGGCTTCTGACGGCCCAGGACGCCCGCAGTAGCGTTGCACCTGGGTTACCCGAGGATTGCTGGAGGGTATATTGTAAGACTGTTAGAAATAGACCTAAAGACATTTTTTCCCCTTCCTTTTGGTGTTGAAGAATAGTTTCAAATATTCGCAGTGGATATTCATTTGGTGTGAGTAGGAGGTGAGTGAATTTTGATGTTGAAAACTTATGAATGTTGGGGTGGAGAATAGTATTTTTTTTTCTAGAATCTAGATCTACAGTTTAATTGTTTTCTTACTCCTGCTTTATAAGGAAGTGAAATCTCGATTTTGATAAATGACTTTTGATAAAGGGGGATTTGACAAATGGCTTGCTTTTTAAATTTTAATTAGAGTTTACCACTTATGATATTGAATCTTGATTTTTACTTGTGTAGATGTGTGGCAACTCCTGTTCCGACTTTGGGATCAGGTGCCAAAGAGCAGGGGCAGTTTTGGCTTGATAAATGCTGCTTTTAGCATCTTTGTGGAATACATTAATTACAGACAATGAAAAGACAGTGATAGCTTCTAGTTCGGTTATCCTAAAGGTACTTCCTTATGTTACATGAGCATTAAGTTGTTTTCAGCTCTCATTGTTATGGTAATGTTTAAAGCTGGGGTGATGGCTAGGGGGTGTGGTGCAGGTTATTGTACACTAATGGCTTGAATTATCATGCTAAGAATAATGTCAGGGTTGCTAATTTGGAATGTAGTGTTCAGGAAATTTTCTTCTACTAGTTGATCACCACATTTGGAAGACACATTACCCACAGAGTCATATGCAGCTTCCTCTCTTTAAAGTTGTACTTGTACAAAGGGCTGTTGATGAGGACATAGAAGATGAAGTCTGAGGGATGTTGGCATGTTGGAAAACTTTAAAACCTTGGTGATTAGAATTCATAGGCTGATTTTTAACCCCCAGTGGAAATCGTGTTTTGGTGAATGATACATGAAGGTTTTTTTGTGTGTGTGAGAGAGAGAATTTTCATTTGTCTCATACTTAGTGCATAACTCTCGAGGTTAAAATCAGGCACACACTAGTTCTGACTGAAAGCACAATGTGAATGCTGTGTTATAATGGAATGTACTTTGCTCTGATTTGTGTATTTAACAGCCAGGCAGTGGTTGCGCTTGGGAGGCAGAGGCAGGTAGATAGATCTCTGTGAGTTCGAGGCCAGCCTGGTCTACAGAGGGAGTTCCAGGACAGGCTCCAAAGCAATACAGAGAAACCCAACCCTGTCTCTGAAAACAAACAAAACAAAACAAAAGCAAAAATGAATAATCACAAAGACCATAAAGTGAATTTCACAGTTGAGTTCTGTTGCTTCCAAACATGCAAGACTTTCATACTTTATCCTGAGTGATCATGTAAGAATTTTCATGAAGTAAAAACAGTGCCTTAACTGACAACAGCTACTTGGAAATGTACAGGATGGACTGTGGCTGGAAACTTTCTGAGTATTGACCATTTTAGCTTTAAATTTATTTTCTCTGAAAAGGCTGGCTTGAAATTTTTAGGTTTGTTTAGAATAGTACTTCTAGGGCATCTTAAACAGTTAAATTTATGTTAAAGTTACTTTTTGCCGTAATACTCAGATTTCTCCTACTATCTCTTATATGGGTAAGATAAAAACCAAGGGGGACACTGCTATTGCCAGATGTAATTCATTAGATTATCTTTGGTAAGGCATTAGGAGAAAATGATTGTTTTAAAGTTCTTACATGTTTTATTTCTGAGGTTCACTAAATTTTAGAAATAAGACTTGGCTTGGAAGCATTATTTTGCATTTTACTTCCTCCTAATACTAAATTCATGTTATTTCAGCTAGGGGCAGTATTTTCTCATGGATTGACTAAAAGTTGTTATTTTTGGCGTCTGTCTTTGTGATTATTTCCAAGTTACTCTGTTTCCTCTGCCAGTTTCCTAACTCTGTAGAATGGGAATGGAATTACTTGCCACATCTGCAGAGATGCACCCTGGGGTTTTCAGAGTCCCTTTGGATGAACAGTATGCTTAAGATCTAGGAACTGTTATTGAAATGAATTGATGTGAAGTAGGTCATATTTTATAGGAAGTCAAGTAGAAGGTTATGAACTAAGTTCTTGGCAAGTTACAGGAGTGACAGTGGAATGAAAAGAAAACCCAACCATGTATTATAGTTTGTATAAAAGGTATATCTTCCCTATAAATTTAGAGGGAGAGGGTAAAGTGAAACAAGCTTGTGTAAGAGATTGAAGATCTATAAAACTAAAGTGTAATGACACATTGTAAAATCATGGGATGCCTTTATTGATTTCTACATGTAGTAATAGTTTTTAAAAGATACTAAAGAATGTTTTCCCTGCACTTTTAGCCAGGTCTGGTAATGAAAACTTTTATATCTGGCTTATATTTTTTGATGTTTTGTCATATGCTTTCAAGAATGTTTTTTGACCACTAGGACGTAATTTTAGACTTTCAGTTTTGGGGGGGTTCCCCCTTGTTTTGTTTGTTTCTTTGTTTTTTGAACTTGACATTCTGTAGATAACTATTGCTGAGACCCATTGTTCCTTTTGGTAGCTGATAGTCAGGTGTCATCTGGTCCGTGCCCTCCCCCCCTCTCCATCTCCTAGCAAAATTTGGGCTTTCTCTCACTAAATGTTTACTTCTGAACCATTGAGAGGAGGTTGCAACATGTAGCCTAGCCTAGGGCGGCCTGGTACTTAAGATACTCCTGCCCTTAAGCCTCCCCAGTGCTGGGATTACATGTGTGTATATAGCTGAGCCTTTACTTCTTTCTAATTACTAAGAGTGGTAGTTTTACCGCCTAAACAACCCTTTTAATCTGTCTTCATCCTTAACACCACAATGCATGCTGACGTCACTTCTCACCTATTTTACCACAGGCCTCTTTCCCCCTTCTAGATTTACCTCTAGATTCTCTAGCTTCCACATAGCCAGAGCAGTGTTTCTGAACAGTAGTAAATCAATAGTTGTAACTTTAAAAAGCTTTCAATGGCTCCCCCTACAGCCTTCACTGGGAGAGGCAGCAGGCTAGAGGGTTTTGAGGTCACATTTAAGATTTGCTCTGTGTTGGGTTCCAATTCTGTGTTTTCTTCCATTTAACTATCTATAATATTATCAGGCTGCTCTACCCTTCCCTTGCATCAGTTGTAAGATAATCATTCCTAATTCAGAGGGTTTTGAGGAGGTTAAGTGAGATAATAGTTGAAAGCATTTACTAGAATTCAAGGCATACACTTAGTGCTTGAAAAAAATCTTTGCTAGTGTTTCATAGAAGGTTCTGCATCGATATTTATTTCATAGGTGCCTTTTGTTTGTCTTTTGAGACAGGGTTTCTCTGTAGCCTTGGTTATCCTGGCACTCACTCTGTAGACCAAGCTGGCCTTGAACTCACAGAGATCCGCCTGCCTCTGCCTCTGCCTCTGCCTCTCAAGTGCTGGGATTAAAGGTGTGTGCCACCACCGCCCGGCTTCAAGTCTCATATTTAAGAGCTTGAAGTTCCTACACAGGCCCAGGAGTTTAATGCCTCGCTAAGCTTTTTGAGATTGAGGTCAGAGAATAGTCTAACCAGATATCAGGCTAAGTTCCATGCCCCTGCTGTGTGTTATTAAAAGATTGGTGTAATTCTCTTGGAAGTATGTTACTTAATTGTAGTGTAATCATTATATTCAAATACTGCCAGTTACTTGGCCACAAATACCATTTTCTCTTAATCATTTATATATTATACTCACAAGTGTGCCAGAATATTTGTTACTTTGAAACGTGAATGTACTAT